GAACGGTTCTTGCATGAGGCCCTTTGTTAGCAGCTTTATCCAGTTAGAAACCAGCTGAAACACTCATTCATATCCAAGTTTCTACCAACAAGCTGCTGATTTGAGGCAAAGTTAAARTACACCACCTGGCCAAAAGAAGTCGCCACYTRGATTTAACTAARCAAATAGCCTACTATTGGATAATTACTGCACGGGTGATTATCTTTCAGCTGGCAACAAGTTGTTTAACTCCAGCTGGTGCAATGAGTTGCTTCTCATTTCTTGTTGAAAGACACATCCTGTGGTCGTGGAAATGTCAGTCTGTTTGAGAAGGGTCACATCATTGGCATCAAGCAAAACATCTAAGGAGATTGCAGAAACTACTAAAATTGGGTTGAGAACTGTCGAACACATWATTAAAAACTGGAAGGATGGTGAGGACCCATCATAACACTACCACCACCATGCTTGACASTTGGTCCAGTGTACTCACATTGACTCCTCTAAACATGCTTCCTGTCATTGTGGTCAAATAACTTAATTGTTGTCTCATCTGACCACAATTTTTATTTTTCTGGTTTTTCTTTTAAAGTTTTTTCTTTAAAATCACTAAAGTCTAACAGAATRCTCAACTTAAGACTACAATATTTTATTAAGTATTCTTCGTGAGACTTGTTGGTCCCATAGAACAGCTCAGTCATGCAACATGAAGATATGCAGACAGCCGTCAGGATAAATCATTCTRYATTTGTGTGTTTGTGTGTGTTTTATTCCATCCCAAACACCAGTTACTTCGGGGTTCTGCGTCCCTCATCTTCCTTACCTCAGTGGAGCAGGGTGCAGACGGACTACAGAGCTGTGGACTCAGAGGACAGGCAGCAAATTATGGATGATTCAGATCAGGAGGAGTCAGAACCAGGTAAAAACAGACTGCAGCGACATGAAAGGAAATAATTTTTTTGTTGATTCCTCATAGTAGCTGCTCCTTAGGCTTTGCTCTCTGAATCTCTAACCCATATTTGATAGAATTTCATAAGCTAAAYATATTTAAATGCTTCATTACTAAGATCTTAAGTCTTAACTAGTTAGCTCTACATGTGACAGCTTTCTATAATTTAAACACAACTTATAATTTGTGACACCAAGGAAAATATGTAGCCTAATTAAAATGACAGTCGTGGGAAGAGTTACCATTACAAMTGGTGATTCATTTTCTGTAAAAGGCTACATGTTGACTATTATTAATATTTTTGTTCTGTAATTTCCAACAGGTCAGGGTTGTTTCTGGCGCACCTCACAAAAACCTAACGATCAGTTCAGACAGAGGTGGCAGGTCTTTTCTCTGACGCCCGTTTGGTGACATTGGATTAAAAAAATTTATCTCAAGGCCACGAGCTAATATCTCCATGMGATAAATAACGTGTAGCCATGAGCTGATAATGCGTGACCACAAGATAATCCTTGTAGTCATTTCCATCCAGAGACTGATGATTGTTAACGTGGACCAGTTTGAGTTAACTTTGTTTTATTTTAAAATAGGAATTTATGACATACTTTTATTTATTTATTTATTTATTTATTTATTTATTTATTTATTTATTTATTTATTTATTTCAATGATAACCCCTTGAGATGTACCTTCTCATTTTCAAAAGGGTCCTTACAAAACATAAATGTAATAATAATACAAATCATAATTATAGGTTGATCAAAGTATAATACTAGTAATTCAAACACAGAAAGGCCCACACCATGCTCAAGCACACTCACCCACATACACAACCATGTGTACTCAATGCTTCTGTCTTGTACATGAGGCATGAAGTCATTCTTAGTCATTTGTATTCATATGTTGCAGCTATAAAACACAGTTGACCCCTGACTGGAGGTTTATTTGTCCAAATGGCTTTATTTTCTTTTCTTTTTTCAAATCTGTTTCTTGACCTACAATTAAAGCATTCATTGTCATCTTGTAAATACTATGAAAGATGAACTGTTTACATTAAACATACTCTAAAAATAAATAAATATAAAAAAAATAATAATGTGTGGGGTACCTTTGCACAGCTAAACACAAAAACAACATTTATAAATGAACTGCTCCAACAATGTCTATATCTCTCACTAAGAGACACAGCTGCTCAAAATTATTATATCTTGTGGCCAAGAGGTAGTAATGCATGGATCTAATTATTGTCATTACAGTACAGAATGTACAGCGGGTAAAATAAGTATTGAACACGTCAACATTTTTCTCAGTAAATATATTACTAGAGGTGCTAATGACATGAAATGTTCACCAGATGTCGGTAACAACCCAAGTGATCCATACATACAAAGAAATCAAACCATAAATGTCCAGAAATGAAGTTACCAGCTGAACTCTCTCAGTAATTAGAAAGCAAGCCTGCCCCTTGTCAGTGCAGATTAATGTCAGCTGGTTAAGTCCCAAAT